CGGTGTATCAAAACAAAAAAGGCGATGAGGCGTTTCTTTAAAAATTATGCTTTTGTGCCTGGTGTTTTGCGCGCTGATGTGCACGATCACATTGGCGCCCTTTATTTAGTTACAAGGGCTTAAACGGTGATGGAAAAAGCAAGCAAAAAGCTCATTCAGAATTTTGCATCAACAACATGAAAGCATGGATCCACCTATATTTTTAATGCCACACTTTAAACCCATTAGTACCAAATAAGCATTGTGTCAATGCCACAGCCCACCTGAGTATTGTTGCTGACCATGTCCATCTCTTTATGACCACAGTGTACCCAACTTCTGAAGGATACTTCCAGCAGAATAATGCACCATGTCAGAAAGCTCAAATCATCTCAAAATGGTTTCTTAAACATGACAATGAGTTCACTGTACTCAGATGGTCTACACAGTCACCAGAGGCTAATCCAGTGGAGCACCTTTGGGATGTTGTAGAATGGGAGATTTGCATTATGGATGCACAGCCAACAAATCTGCAGCAACTGCATGATGCTATTATGTAAATATGGACCAGAATCTCTGAGGAATTTTTCAGTACCTTGTTAAATATATGCCTCGAAGGATTAAGACAATTCTGAAGGCTAAAGGGCATCCAACCCAGAACTAAAGAGGTATACTTAATAAAGTGGTTGGCGAGTGTATATTTCAGCAGTTAAGTAGGTTATTGTTTATTTCTGAAACAGAGTTGCTACTCTTGAGAGAGTAGAGGTGACAATTTTATAGCAAAAGGAGTTTTTTTTCGTAATTTTTTGACAACTTAAGAGAGTGCTCTGTGTCCTACCCACCACCACCTTACCTGGGGTGAACCAACAGCCAGTCTAGGAGCTATGAAACAAAGTGCCATAAAGTTAAAGTGCCAATTTTATCAAATGTTTATGTTGATTTTACCTGTTTATTAAAAATGTATTTAATACTTTTTTCCAACATAATAATTTGGGTGTACTAATTAAAATATTTTAAATTATTTAATTAAATTAGTTTTGGCTTTGTTACTGACAAATGTAATATATATGCACAAATATAATATTGTAAAGCATCTTATAGAAATCTGCGAGGAGTGTACTCGTTTATGCTGAGCACTGTATATATTCAGTTGAAAGCAAAATTATTAGGCCTCTTGTGATTTCTTTTAAAATTTTTCAAATATTTCTCTAATGACGTTTAAAGGTGCAGTAGGTGATTTTCCACAATGCTAACAGCTAAGCATAAATCTCCGAATCAAAGTCCCTCCCCTGCCAACTAGAGCCAAGCCTCCTGAAACACGAGCACAGCAAAAGAACCCTCTCTCATGTGTTAAAAAAACTAGTGCTTGTCCAGCGGCATGCAAGCCAAACTGAAATGCTATTTCAGAATGAAAATTTAGAGTTGCATGGTAAACAATATAGGGAGAGACTAGGCGGAATAGTCGTATTGTGTTTTGTTGTTAAACTAACTATAATCTTTATCGATTCTGTAAAAGATCCCTCATGAAACTGAAAATAGTCTTATCAATCTTTCTTCGGAAGATTTTAGTGGCTGAACAGCACTTCGGTGAAGATATGTGTGTGTGTGTGTGTGTGTGTGTGTGTGTGTGTGTGTGTGTGTGTGTGTGTGTGTGTAAATATATCATTTATTTAAAAACTTACTTGTTGGTGACTTCTCTGTCTTCTGCCATAGTCTGCCATACTCTTCTTTATGAAGTCGATGAAGTCACATTGCAGAAGTTGTGTCATGATGTTATAGAGAAGTTATAATGGAGGTTTGCTACTTAAACACTTATTTCAATTGTCCTTTGGTTAACTTTTCATACAGACACACCTCCTGTTTCTAATGTCATTCTGTCAATACATTTCTTTTCTATCATTAGATACAAACATACTTTAATATCTTCTCACATGAACAAAAGTCAGGTCAGTGCCTGGAAATAAAGAAAAGCTGCAACCTGTAGCTTTCTGTTTAGATTTTTCCACTCATCACTGCAATTTCAGAAATGATTTCTTTCATTTTAAAGTCCAACATGTGTCAAGGTAACCAACTTATTTTAAGTCCATTTTAGGGCTAATTATAACTAGATTATTAGCAAGACACTGGTGCTATGCTTGATGAATTGTTTATAGTAGATTATTTTATGGAGAATTATGAGTAAGACCAGGGAAACTGGGGAGGAATTGGAAGAAAAGTTTTCTCTTAAATTATTTTTCTTTTTAAAATATGTACTCAAATGTATCATCATATCACTGAATATGGGAGAATCTCAGTTTTAAGCTTTTGTATGAGACGTAGTCTGAACAATATATATATATATATATATATATATATATATATATATATATATATATATATATATATATATATATATATATATATATATATCATACAACATGTATATAAAACATCAAACATTAATTTAAACTGGAATTTTTTAATGATTCAATAACTAGCTTAGACGTTCATTACTGGATTAATCACTTTTGCAATATTATTCAGCGACAGCGACACACATTTATAGTTTTATCGCCACCTTTTGGCCAACAATATAATTCCATAAAAGTAAAAAGCATCAAACACATTCAAACGGTTATATATATATATATAATTACCATAAACATCAGCGTTCAAACTAAACTTTAAACAATTATGGTAGTACTTATGTTTGACTGTTTTTTGACCCAGAAGTTATGATATTACTTCAACTCGCAATCACAGGCTATAATTAAGATCGCGTGGGTGTTTGAAGTGATCGCAATTTTCATTTAATCGAAAAAACCTTAGAGATGAACCCCCTTGTTTTTTTTTTTTTTAATAAATCTTAGATGAGTTGAAATTAACATTACATGGCCTGCATTAACCTTTAACTCATATAGTCCGTGTTTTGGCATGTGCAGTTACTTGTTGTTAATTCCTTCTGCATATATGATAGTTTCTTTTTCCTGAAATCCATGATATGCAGCAGAAATCGGCTTTTGAAGCTGTAAAGTCGATCTTTCACTCTGAATCACAGTCGATGATCTGGTTTCTCATCTGTTGATGCACTAGCCAGTATTCCAAATGGAACTCTGAGGTTCCATGTCATCAAGGCTGAAAATCTGATTAAGTGTGAATAACATACCAAACTTTTCACTGGTAGTGTGTATTGGTCAGGTTTTTTTTTTTTAAGTATTCTGTTCAAATAAAATTATTACTCCAGTCATTATTGTTTTTATTATTATTACCATTAATAATAATTATAATAACAAGTAATTATTATTAAAATGATTTCAGAAGGAACATGTGACTCTGAAGACTGATAATTCATCTTTTAAATCACTGAAAAAAATTATTACATTATTAACTACTTTTGAACAGTTATTTTATAGTGCGATAACATTTTGCAATGTGTACTGTATTTTTGATTTTTGATTTTTGAATAAATGCAGCCTTGCAGAATAGGCCTATTTTAACACATCACACACACACACACACACACACACACACACACACACACACATATATATATATATATAAATATATATATATATATATATATATATATATATATACACACACACACACAAGTTGAAGAAAAAATGCCCACCATTTCAAGATAGCAGACCTTTAATCAACATTGGATAAATGTTAAAAGATCAATTAAACTATTTTTGAAACAATCTTAGCGTTTAACACCCTGAGATAATGTTATTTCAACTGCGATATTTATATCGAAATGGTCACAAAACCAGCATTAACTCAATAAAATTGTATCAATATTTACACTGAAACTAACATTTAATAAATGTTAAAAGATTAGCAACTCTATCATTGAAACGTTAAAATTTATCAGATTTTTTTGCCAGTTTTGCACCCTGAAAATGTTATTATTATAGATAACTTATATATAAAAATGATCGCAAAATCTGCATTTGTTCAACTAAAATTAAATAAGTATGGTTTACATTGAAAGAAAAAAACACTGAAACCGCATCAATTCAATCCTGCCTTAAGAACAGTGTGATTTTATTCCAATTGGTGTTTCCATTGCCTCATTTTAATTAGAGACTTGTTAGCTGATTGTGCTAAGTAAAAAAAAAAAAAACTAAAGAAACCAAGTTTTTTTTTGTACAGTGTCAATTATTTTACTGTCATTTTACTGTCATTCCCACTATGATGATGTTTTTGCCAAATGATCGAAACAGCTTTTTGCTGTTTGAAAGGTTTATTCTATTTTAGCAATAAAAAAATATGTAAAAGTTACTTTAGAATCTTCTCTGAACATTCTAAAACAAAGTATACATTTTACAATGAAAAATGTATTACAATATTTAAACCTGAATTACAATATTGAAAACAAAAACATGAGAAAGTTTTATACGTCTCTACATCTGTTGTGGAACATTAAAGAAGACCACTTCCAGGGTTCATACATATTTTTACTACTAAAATTCCATGACTTTTCTTTAAATAAAATTTTATTTAAGTCAATTTACTGCAAGTCAAAATTCCATGACTTTTCCAGGTTTTCCATGAACCCTGCACTTTACAACATAAAAACAATATTTATGTTCATGAGTATCTATATGGAGCTTAAAATATGCCAAATCAATCTGATTTTGAATTGTGTTAATTTTAATAATTATTAATTTAATTATGTAATTAGTTTTTCTTTCCTTAGGCTTAGTCTCTTATTTATCATGGGTAGCCACAGCGGAATGAACCGCCAACTATTACAGCATATGTTTTACGCAACACTGAGAAACACTCATACACTCTGGCATTCACACAGACTCATACACTACGGCCAACTTAGTCAATCCATTTCACATATAGCACGTCTTTGGACTGTGGGGGAAACCAGAGCACCCGCAGGAAACCCTTGCAAACACGGGGAGAACATGCAATCTCCACACAGAAATGCCAACTGGTCCAGCCGGGACTTAAACCAGTGACCTTATACACATACATATCATTCATTATCAAGATCAAATGAAATAAAACTGAATAAAAACGGCTCATGTATGAACAAAATAAACTGATATTTATTTAAAACTGAGAACCAGTATATATAAAAACATGAAAAAGTACAAACTATTCTACAATCTTATACAAGATGATTGCCACTTTATGCACTCGAGATGTTAGGTTATATTGACATCCAATTATTAAACTCAATAAAAATCTACCCTGTGCTTATACTGTAAGATGTAATCCTGCCACATTAACATCAAAGATCTGATCAACTTCATTCCTGTTACCTCTGCTTTCTTTGTAGCTAATGTATTTCAACATATACTGTATGTACATGTTTAATGGTTGAAAAAAGTATATATAAACTGCTGATTTGCAATACATGTTGCACATAGCGTGTGCTTATATGACATTTTATATCTGTGAAATCCAAACATGAACTTGTGTATCATATGTGATTTGCTTGTGTTGCCATATATTAAATCTTTATATGAGATTTCTTTCATGCAGGCAAAATTTGCACTTTCCATAACTGTAATGAATGCATCCCTGTAACAAAACAATAGACAAACAAGTGCGTTCCGTTGCTGTGCACAGGTTTTTGCTTCAAGTGTCTTTGGCGATTAAGAGCTTGTTCAATTATATGCAAGGCTGACTGGTGATGTGTCTGTAACAGAAGCAAAAAATAAATAAATGAAACACTTCTGTAGCCATGTTTCCATCCAAATATTTGTATGCACATTTTGGAAAATCGTATTAAAAATGCTAAAAGGAAATTCCTCAATAATTGATTTAATAGAATTAAAAATTGGCTTGATGGAACGGCATTAACAGACAAACAAATGAACCAAATACATTGTAAAACATCAGCTATGTTGTTTTGTTTATTGCAAAATCCTTTAGCCAAAGTCTGTCATCAAAGTGGTTTGGTATTACCTCCCAGATTTATCTTGACCATCTACGCCACTAAAAGCCAGTTATAATTGAGTTATGTCCTTGCCATCAGGGCAAAAGTATTTAATTATTAAAAAAAATGTATATATATTTTGTTCTTTGACTTATTGGAAGGCAATGATGGTATATTCTGAAATAATATTCCAGCTTTGTGCATACATTTAATGGGCACCTTTAGATGGAAACAGCTTCTGTCTGCTTTATTTGATGGCAAAAGTACATATACACAGGTGATCAGTCAGTCAATGTTTTCCATACCTCCCCACAGGACATGATTATGGGCTCCTATAAGCCCTTGAGCCGTTCCTCCATAGGATGTTTTTCATGCTTTAACAAAGCATTAAACAGGTCTTTAGCAATACTTTCACAATTCACGTACAGAAGCAGTTCCCTCATCATCGCTTGTTTTGTTTGCTTTGCTCTCACTTTTGCAACTGATTCACTGTGTAACTCAGAGAGATCATCCAGAATTTGATCAATGTTCTTCACAGTGTTAATCAACCAACTTCTGTTGTCTTTGATAAACTTGGAATAATCTGTGAATCCAAACAAACAAAGACAAAACAATATAAACATTTGTTCAAAATATATTTCATATTTTACAAAGTCTGTTGACAGGGTCATTTACTCATTCTACATCCAATAACACGTATTAAAACACTCACTTGTTATTTGACTGCTTGATTGTCCAGCTGTATTTGTGGTCTCTGTAGAAATAAAACAAGTTTATAAACAGATGATCAAAAAGATTATTAAAAGTCATTCAAGATTATATAGTGCATATTATACTACTCGCAGTTAAAATAAAAAAAATTTGAGACACAAGTGTTAATACTAATATAAAACCATATATGTGTAAATATATACACAATACCTATAATGATTACAGCTTATCCTAGATTAGGTATCTTTAAAGCATCTGTTTAAACCAGGGGTGCTTAGCCCTGTTCCTTCAGTAGCAACCCATGTCAAACTCACCTGCCTGTAATAATCAAGTGCTGCTCAGGTCCTAACTAATTGATCCCTATGTGTTTGATCAGGGTTGGACAGAATACGTGTGATTCTGCTTGTAAAAGTTTTGTTTGTTATTAGATATTAAATTTAAATGTAACATTTAAAATGTCCAAAAATATCTAAATACACAACATACAAATTTCAAGATTTTTTTTTACCACATATGCTTGCATTTATGCTTTTGGACTGATGAATTTAAAATCCATAAAGTGCAGTTTGGAAACCTGCATTTAATATAAGTTTAAAGTATAACATTCTCATCCAAATAGAATTAACAAAGCTAAAGGAATAGTTTAAAAAAAAAAAAAAGTTCTGTCATGATTTACTCACCCTTCACTTGTTAAATTTGTTTGACTTTCTTTATTCTGTTGAATTTGTATCAAAGTTTGTATTACAAATATTTAGTATTTGTATACATTTGTATATAGGTTTTCAGCTTTCTTTTAAATAAAGAAAGAAGTGTTCAACAGAAGAAATATGCTCATAAAAGTTTGGAACCACTTAATGGAGAATAGTGAGTAAATAACATTTTTAAAGTGAACCTTTCCTTTAGGTGTCCAAAAACATTATTCTATTATTAATGACAAATGTTCTGTGTAATACATAATTTGTAAATCAAAGTATCGGAACTTCTTACCTTTCACCTTTTCTAATTGGTCCACTCTGTTTGTCAAGTTGTTGATCTGTTTCTCATGCTGATTTAACTTTGTTTGCATCCCTTTAAGTTTGTAAACTTCAGGGCCTAGATTCTCCAGAAGATCTTTGTTTTGGTGCAAAAACTCCATGAGAGTAGTCATGTCCGGGGAATTTTCCTTAACAAAGTCATGGTTTAGAACAAACATGGTGGCAATTCATAAATAACTAACTTAGAGTTAAGTGTTCATATTTTATTTTTATTTCTGATGTACTTACATTTTTATCAAGGTTCCCTTCAAAGTGTGTGATCAAGTATTCAATCCTGTCTTTCAAGGCTTGTTGCTCACGGTTCAGAACTTCCTGGAAGTCTACCATGGTCTTGAGATCTTTATGTTGACCATCTACTTCTGTTTGATTGAAATTCTTGTCCAAAATGTTGTTAAACTACTCAGAAAATGTAAAACAAAAAATATCAGTCAAGTGCTGAAATCAAGTATAAATAATAAAAGGATGTGATAAAAAACAGGCTTATCATTATCTGGATTTCATTCACCTGTTCTATCTTCTCTCTCAAGACTGAGAGTGCTGATACCTTGGAATTAAGCATATCGGCAAACTGGAAAATTGTTTCAAGGTGTCTGTTCATATCCTCATTGTTCATTTTAAGGTCAGGGGAGTGCATCACAACATTCCGTACATTTATAACCTGATTTATTCAAAATATACAGTTGTAATAATCTTATATAGTACAAAGTGACATTTGATGTTTGAATATCTGTAACAATACAGTTTAGCCAGTTTCTAGCACATAATAATATTGGAGAAGAACAGATAAAAAGGTTTATAATGATTTAACATCAAAAAGAAAAATCGTAAGGGTAGAAAACAGTATTTACCTTTTTCACATTTTCCCCTTTAGTCAAAAATGGCTTGAAATGCTTACAGGCACTCAGAAAGTTAAGAATGGCAGAAATATCAAACTGGGCAAACTCACAATGCTGTTTGTGTCCACGTGGCATGTATGCCTGTCGATAAAAGTATGAAAAACACGCAGTCAAAAATATAATGGACATAGATTTGTTTACTGACAGCAAATATACAACAAGTTAACGCAACAGGTGATTGTTTTTAACGATAAAATGTACTTACCTTTGCAACTTCCCATTTTTTTGTGGCCCATAGATGTGGCCGGCAATTGTCCCAGTGTACATTTCTACCACCCTCGTTGTGATTGGCCACAATTTCATTCTTCCAATATTCACACAATTGGCAGAGAGACTGGTGGAAGCAGCAGTACACAGTCAGAAACGTACAGATACTCCAATAATCTTTGACTCTACATTTAAAAAAAAAATCTAAAAAGCAGGTTAAGACACAACTGGGAGTTCTGTATTTATAAGAGGTTAAATGTAAGAATTAAATGTTTATATTTGATGAAGGTGATACATTGTATTATATATATATAATGTATTTGATACATTAAATTATGTGAAGGCAATGTGTATAATTTGACATTGTTGTGTAATTAATCTTTATGTATGGTATAATGTTTAAATTTAAGAGCTGTGTGTGTTCCCTACTGCTGATGATACACTGGACAACTTTTTGGAAAATGTAGCAGTTTTGCATGATGTTGCTTGGCTACATTAAGATTTAAAAAATGGGAAAGAATATTGTATCTGTAATCCAGTGCCCTAATCAGTTACCCCGTGTCTCACCTGGTTGCCCACTTATGGCATAATTTCCCAAACTTGTCCAGCAACGTTCCTCAAAAATTTGCCATGTGTATCATCAGCATTAGGGCAGGGCTGTCAAACTCGGTTCCTGGAGGGCTGCAGCCCTGCAGAGTTTATCAGCAGCCCTACTGTAACATTACCTGTGGATTTCAAACAACCCTAAATGACTTAATTAGTTTGTTCAAATGTGTTTTATTAGTAAGTAAAAGTAAAAAAGTAGTAAAAGTAACCTGTGAAGAGCTGCACTCCAGGAAAGGAGTTTCACACCAGTGGTTTAGGCTTAGGGCATGTCTAATGAAGATCTAACTAAATAAACAAATGTTAACAAAATATAATAAACTAATGTTGATTTTTTTGTAATATCCAGATAGTTTTGTTATTTTTTCATCTGCCTAAAGCAGAGATGCCCAAACTAGGGCCCGCGGGCCAAAGTTGGCCCATGTTAGCCTTTGATTTGGCCCACCATCCCATTTAAGTGGAGAGGGAGGATAAGGAGCTTGGCTGGGGTTAATATTTCTGACAATGATGGTCATTTAGAATTTAATTTCATCTTTTGCTTATCTTGTCATTTGTTTTGTTTTGAAAATGAATCTGACTTGTAAATACTGTCACTCGAAGGATAGAGGCATATGCACAAGACATGTGCGAGCAAACCAAATCAAAGGCACGTGCAGCTTAGTGTATTCAGCATTGAAATTCATTGTGTGGTTAATGGGATTATTTATGTTTTTACGGTAATAATCTCAATATAAAACATTAAAAATATATATACTGCATTAGTTGAAGTTATTTAAAGTAATGTTTTGTAGTTAGTTTTAAAGATTAGGAAATAAATTTTTAGTTAGTCATGGAAAAGTTATTGTAATACAGTTTGGTATATTTACCTTTGGCCTAAGGCCCACAATCAAGTTTGGTTTTTGGCCTTTTATAAGAAAAAGTTTGGGCACCCCTGGTCTAGACAGACAGATAACCACAAAGAAGTGATAGACGGATAAAGATACACACGAGTAGAAAAATATGCGAATAGATGAACAGACAAATTTTACTAATGATAAATAAAATGTATACAAAAATGACACCTTTAAAGCTCAGTAATCTGTAAATAATTGTAGTCATTAAGTTTTAGGAAAATTTGGTCTTAGCCAATTTTTTGAAATTTTTTTTTTTTTTTGGCTTAATGTTGTTACTTCCGGTGTTACGGTTTAACTGATGATTGTGTTAACTGGTGTCAAAGAGCTTAGAATCACTGGTGAATCATTAAGGTAAAGTTGGTTTTATATTCATTCAGTGACAACTTGTGACACACCCCTATATAGAGAGGTAAAGTTGGTCTTATTTTCACACATTCTGACTTTCCCCTTAATTATATCATTTCACAAAAGTATTACTTGCAAACTCTAAATAGCGAAATTATATTAGCAGCCAATGACTGTCAAAGTACAACATTGTTCACAGTAAGTAGGTTAAAACCAACTTTACCTCTACACCCTATATTGTATACCATGGTGAGGGTATTTTGAATAGTCGGTATAAAATATTCTGCAAGTGTGACTTGAAAACAACATTAACACTGTTTATTTTGCTGTGAACAATGTTGTACTCTGATAATCGTTGGCTGCTAATATAATTGCTAAAATAATTTCTATATTTAGTTTCCAAATAATACTTTTATGAAATTATATTATTAAGGAGAAAGTCCGAACGTATGAATTTAAAACCAACTTTACCTTTGTTGATGATTCTATGCTCTTTGCTGGTATCCATAGATATATACACTAGATGTTGCCTGGCCTATTGTTGTCTATTGGACGGAATGCATCAATAGCGCCGCCATCTTGCTACAGGGTAGCGCTCCTTTGAAATGAATGCGGGACCAATGTACAGTGGAGGACTGTGGCCATCCAAAGCCAGAGATATACACATATACACATATATCTATGTTTGGGAGTTTTCCTGGATGTTAGTATGTAAATTTTTTTTTCTAATTACGAAAATTATAATTTTACATCACTTTTCTGCATTGATGGATCAGTGACCGCACTGGCATTCCTGACAAAAAGCTTGTGTTTGTGTGTACAGAAATTTTCTATTCACCCTCCCTTAAATTTAAAGTTAAATTTGATCTAATCATGTCCTGAAACATACCTCCTCTTCTCCCTGCTGAAAAATCCAGCTTAAACCAGCTTAGGCTGGTTGGCTGGTTTCAGCTGGTTGACCAGGCTGGTTTTAGAGGGGTTTTGGCCATTTCCAGGCTGGTTTTCAGCCATTTCCAGCCTGGTCTTAGCTGGTCAGGCTGGAAAATGACCAGCCAAATCCAGCTAAAACCAACTTGACCAGCCTGGCCTCATATTTCTTTTGCATTGTTTGCTGATTTTATTCAACAAAACTAGCATAAGCCGAGTGTTTAGTGCGAGTTGAGCTGCTTTGCCTTATGGTGAGTGCAGTAAGTGACTGTTATCATCAATAACGTTACCTGATTAGCACAAAAGTTTAGAACATACAAAAACAGAAAAAAACTTAATATTACCTATAAAATGTTCTGCCTTTGTGCTTTGATTTCTTTGTTTGCTTGTTTCTACACCCATAGACAGTGCTAAAGTCCCGCATCTTCACGCAGTAACACTGTCTTGACTAATGCGGTTGAATGACATTTGTCCTGGGAGCGCTGTACCAATGTGGCGGCGCTATTGACGCATGCTTAGGGTCCCTATGCGATATCTTGTGTATATATCTATGGCTGGTGTCCCTTTCCAGATGTAACGTTAAGCTATTCATGCTTGCAGATTGGCAGATTCGTTACTTTTTCCACAGCAACAAAACAAGCCCATACCAAATAAATATTTTTATTACTTGATGTCAGTGTCATTGTAAACAATGTTTTTATTTTAATATTTGTGTAACACAGCAGTATATAACCCAAATTAATCTAAAAAATAATTATTATGTGTATGTCATCAACGGGATTCGAACTCAAGTAGTTAAAGCACACGCATTAAGCGACATGTGAGCTGTTGGGGACTCAACTAACTGAGCTATTAAGGACTTATTATTTTTGTCAGCTGTGGACTTGTGTTAACAATTTTTTACAAACTTTCACACTTATATTTTCTCAGAATAGTTTTGAATGACAAAACAATGTTTTATCACTCCTGCCAGCCAGTTGAAGATTGAACCCCGATTCCAGTATTTACTTAAGCTTAGATTTCCAGGTACAATTTACAATTTCTATGTACGATTTACGTTACCTTATTATTTTTGCAGGTTTGCTCACAACGTTGTCCACTGAGCTGCTGTTTGTTTAGCAGAGCCTTGTGATAAGTTTCAGTTTCCTTTTCAATAAAGTCCTGCATGCTGTTTCGCAGTATGTGAAGACTCTCTGCTATTTTTAGCCAGTTTTTGTAATTTTCATCACTAAAGCGTCTGTAAGGTTGTGAGTTGCTCATTTTGGCTAATTAAAATATCAATAATGCAAACTGCAAAACTTCCTCTTCTTCTTTGTGTTCTTCTTCTTCTTCTTATGGGGTTAATGGTGGTTGGCAGACCAACTTATATGGTGCATTTCCGCCACCTACTGGATAGGAGTGTGGAGCGCATAATGTAGGAAAAAGCATGAGAACAAAAGATATGATACGAATGGAGGGATGAGATTACCAAAGGGAAGAGAGAACAGGAAGAAGAGTAGGAGGAGAGGAGAAAAAAAAAAGAAAAAAAATACAAGTTAAATACCATATCAAATTTTAATTCCTTATTTTGCTAAGCTATTCTTAAATTCTATTAATCAATTTTGTTTCCTTTAAGTAATTAATTAATTGCATTATTATTTTAACTTGATTTGAACCGTTTCCTAATAGGGTCTGAAATGACAAATTTTTAATCCCATAAATGCTTAATCCTTGAACTAATTGATATCACTGATTTTCATATGCCACACATTCTGTAATTACATGTTCTAATGTTTCTATTTTCCCCCATTTATCACAACATCCTGTCTCCTGCTTCCCTATTCTAAACTTATACTGGTTTAGCAAACAATGACCAACACACAACCTAGTTATCACCACATAATTCTTTCTATTACCAAACTTATTTCTAGTACCACCCACACATCCTTGAATATTATGCATATGTCTGCCTTTTTCTCCATTATCCCACTCCATTTGCCACATTCTACCTGTTTCTTTTGCAATTATGTTTTTTTTTTTATCTCTGCCTTACTTATTTTTATTTCTATTTGATTATGTTTTAATGCTTACTTTGCAAGTTGGTCTGCCTCTTCATTACCTACTACTCCCATATGACCAGGAATCCACAAGAAGCTTACAAAAAGTCCCCTGTCTGACCCTGTCTGATTCTAAATAAATTTAGCATTATCTCATTCATTATGTCCTGTCTTGCCTTAGATGTTCCAGTAATTAAGTCGTTTGGTACTGACAGAGAATCCGAGCATATTACTGATCTTAATGGTTTCACTTCTTCTATCCACTAAAGAGCAAGAAGTATAGCTACTATTTCTGTAGTGTACAAAGAAAGTCGGTCCGATATTCTTTTTGATATTTTAATATTGAATTTTGGGATGTAAACTGCTACTGCCGTTTTTTCATCTTTAGGATCTTTTGACCCATCTGTATATATCTGTAAATAATTGAAATATGACTGATTTATGTATTGTTGTATTTCTTTTTTCATTTAACATATTAGTTTTGTGTTTTTCCTCATGTAGTAATAAATCGACTACTGGCATATGGAAAAGCCAAGGCGGAATCGCAGAGGTTGGCACAGCAGGGGCTAAATCGATGTCTCTTATGCCCATATTTTGAGCCTCCTCATTTACTGTCCAACCAAAACTATCTATCTTTTTATGTCCACATTCCCAACATTCCTTTAGTACTGTCTTTACTGGGTGCCTCTCTTCTTGGCTTTTAATGCTAACCCAATATCTAATTTTTAACTTAATTCTTCTAACTTTAAGAGGCATTTACCCCATCTCTACTTGTAATGCTATAATGGGTGTAGTTCTTAATGCTCCACAGCATATTCTCAGTGCCTGAGATTGAATCGCATCTATTTTCAACAACTGAGTTTTAGCTGCGGAACTATATACTACGCATCCATAATCTATAGTAGATCTTACAATGCATTATAGATTCTTTTAAGCGAGAAACGACATGCACCCCATTCAGCTCCTGCCAAACACCTCATCACATTTATTCCCTTTTTTACATTTATCTATTATTTTTTGAATATGCATAATAAAATTCAGTTTTACATCCATCCACATTCCTAAATATCTAATTACTGATACCTGTTCTATTTTCTGTCTGTATATATTAATATTTAAATTTGGATTAACTTTCTTTTTTGAAAAGCAAATAAACTGAGTTTTATCAGTAGAAAATCTAAACCCCCACTCATCTGCCCAATCTTGTACTTTCCTAACTGCATTCTGCAAACACCTTTCTACATGAACTACATTTCTTCCCCTCTTCCATAGCGCACCATCATCTGCATATAAAGATCTCCCGATCCCCAACTCCATTTTTGAAAAGATGTCATTTATCATGATATTAAATAGGATAGGGCTACTAACACTCCCTTGTGGTGTTCCGTTCTCTACCTTATATATTTGGGAGAATGCAGAACCCACTCTAACTTGTATTGTTCTTTTTAACAAAAAGTTCTTGATCCAATTATACATTTTCCCATTAATTTCCATTTTTTCTAATTTAATTGAAAGTCTCCACATCATGTCATATGCTTTTCAATATCGAAAAATACTCCCACCAACACTTCCTTATTTACTTGTGCCTTTCTTATTTCTGATTCCAAACAAATCACTGAATCCATTGTATTACATCCCTTCCTGAAACCACTTTGATATGTGGCAAAAAAGTTTTCCTTCTCGATAACATGAACCAGTCTGCTCATTACCATGCGTTCCATTAATTTACAAATATTAGAAGTTAATGCTATGGGTCTGTAGTTATTTGGTTGTGAATGATCTTTACCTGGTTTTGCAATTGGTATTATGACACCGTGTTTCCACTCTGCTGGTAAAATCCCTGACTCCCATACTTTATTAAATAATTTTAGTATTATACATAATGAATTATCTGATAAATGCTTGATCATTTCATTACAAATTTCATCTTTTCCAGGGGAGGTTTTCTTACCTTCTGCCAATGCTTTTTTTAACTCAAATAATGTAAATTCCCTATCTAATGTACTTTCAGATGGCCCTTTGTTTTCCAACAACCACGGATTCCTGATCAAGATCTGTTTCCTATTTCTTCTAGTTTCTTCAGATAGGTTAGCGTTACTATGAATTCTGGAAAAAAAATTTGCTAGAACTTCAGCTTTCTCCATATCAGAAATTACTAATCTGTTATTTTCTGTCAATGTAGGAATATTATTATTTCTTTGTTTTCCTGCCATTTTCCTTATCATACCCCATATGTCAGATACATTGATATCCTCCCCAATACTGTCACAGTACTCTCTCTAATAATTTTTTTTGCCCTTCTAATTATTTTCCTCACTATTGCCTGAGCTCTTTTATAATTTATAAAGTCATTATAATTTAATGTTTTTCTAACTCTTTTTAATGCTTTATTCCTTTTACTTACTACTTCGCTGCACTCTTCATTCCACCAAGGAACTGCTTTCTTCTTACCATTAGCTTTCTTTCTTCCTATTACTTCTTCCGCAGTGCTCTTAAGAACTTCACAAAGTTTAGAATTAATAACTTCCACATCATCCTCACATCTATCTATTTCAGACAATCTATTATTACACAATTCCTTAAAATTTTCCCAGTCGGCTGTTCTAAATTTCCACCTTGGCATTCTCTCTACCACAGTCCGAATTATCTGCACTCCAATTGAACTTAGAATTGAATAATGATCACTACCAATTGTGTATTGGTAGTATTGGAAAGTATTAAATTTGCTTTAATACTTTCCAATCGCATCTTCCAGCTAGGCTTTCAGAAACTAGTGTTAAATCTAAATTTGAGTATTTTCCTTTTATTAACTCTACTCTTGTGTAACCTCCATCATTGATACATACTAATCCTCCCCAATCCAGCATATCTTCTATAATTAGTCCATTGTAATCTGTTTTTTTACTCCCCCATAAAGTGTTGTGAGCATTAAAATCCCCGCACCACACGATTTTAATATTTCCATTCCCTTGGATATGTTCTAGATTGTCCTTACTTAATTTATCACATGGATTATAATAGTTTATTATTCTAACTTTCTGTGTTCCATCGCATATTTCACTGCCACAGCTTCTTGTTCCCCAGTGATCTCAACTGCCCTATACCCAATACTCTGTTTAATAAATGTAGCTACCCCACCACCATTAGACTTGTCTCTATCTTTTCTTACCGAAGTGTATCCATTAATTACAAAATCTAAATGTGACTTAAGCCAAGTTTCCTGAACACATATGATGTCAGGGCTATTTTCATGATCTACTATGAATTTTTTAAATTCTTGTCCATTTGCAATTAGGCTTCTTGCATTCCACTGCAGTATTGTTAATACCATTATATACTTCCACATGGTTGACTATATACTGTCTGACTAGTTCCTGATTGTATCTTGAGTCTATCGTTTATCATATCTACTGTAACACCCTCTAATTCCAAATATTTTGAAGCAGCTCTGATAATAATTTTAATTCTCTCGGTCCTGCTCTCCGTCTGCGCAGAGCAATTAACTACTTCTGCTATAAATGTGACGAACGATACTTTGTCAATACATACTTCATTATCTTTATTTTGTTCTTTCATCGTTGCTTTTTGTTGAGATTCTGTTACTCTGGTTTCTGGTTCTCTTGATGTCTGTTTAACTTTCTTTAGAGCTTCAGCATACGAGATTCCCTCAGACATTCGGATGTTTTGGACTTCAACAGCATTTTTCCTAACTTGACATCCTCCGTAGCCCGCACTGTGTTCCCCACCACAATTACAACACCTTGGCTTTACTTCCTGCCCACATTTACCATACTCATGGTCTCCCCCACATCTCGCACATCTCTGTTTACCTCTACAAACTGCCGCTACGTGTCCGAACTTTTGGCATTTGTAACAGCGGGGGGACATATAGCCTAACGTTGTAGCTCAAATATCCTAAGTACACCCTTTCCGGTAGTTTGTTTTCATCAAAATGAATCATTACAGACAGACTGTCTACTTTTTCGTTATTTCTAACGCATTTTAGTCGTTTGACTTCTTTTACTGCTGCCCCAGTGATATTTCGTTTTATTTTCTCAACTGTAACATCAGTAGGGATTCCTGTTATTACTCCTCTAATCCATTTTTTTTCTTCTGGGATAGAACATATAACTTTATGCCCTAATAATGTCTTCATAGCCAAGGCCATCTTCTGTTGCTTATGATCTTTACAGTATATAATCATTTTCCCGTCTCTCAAGGTCTTAACACTCTCAATCGTTCCTAACATTTCTTTAAGAGTTTTTGTAAGTTTCAAAGGATTGATGGTATTCACAGAGTCGCTAGCAAACTTCAGCATTACCTTATACTCTTCTCTTCTCCTTCTCGCCTGGTGACTTCCCTTTTCGCTGTCCGATTCAGAT